ATGCGACCGAATATTCCTTGTCGATCGAGAATGTGGACAGGGATCTTATCATCATGAACAAAAATATTTGGGCACGAGGAATGGTCAGTCTTGACAGCGATTATCTGCATGTCGAAGTCGGGGTCGGCCTCGACGGTTACATTGAGCCCGAAACACGTGTTGTTGATGGACAAACTACAATACTTCGAGATAGAGGGTCGAATATGTGGTACCTCTACTGGAGTTCAGAAGAGGTCGGACTCTGGGAAGTTCCGTCTAGTCAGGAGGAGAACCTTCAACTCGACGATATGGTCGATGCATGGGACTCACAAGATTGGGATTGTCTGGACGAACAACATGCTAAACTGTGCGCTTGGTACTGCATCGGGAACCCGCAATTGTGTTTCCGTGTGGTCATAGACTGGTATGGTCGAGCTCGTCTGTTCAATCAAGGCACCCCTGTAGTAACTATTTTCACGACGGCCAAGCTTGATGGCAAGCGAATGAGAGTTTTCTTCCTTGTGAGGGAAGACTTTCGCGAGCACACATCCGCGGGTGCTCTGAAGCGCTTCCGTGATCAATTCGAAATAGATCCCTCGCTCGCAAAAGAGTTGAATCAAAGGGTTGACTATTTGGTGCATGCCCAACTTCACTTTCTTTTCGGATTATGTGAGGAGATATTCTTCACGTTGGAACATAAGGACAACTACATTGACTACACTCTACAAAAAGTTTCGCATCACCGTTCGGGTGTCCAGATATTGGAATTCGTAGGTGGTAGGACGAGAAAGATCTATGACTGTGCTTACTGTGACGATGGGCACCAGTCGCCCTGAACTACTATGTGACCGTTCCTATTTGCCTATGTATCCCCCCCGGCGGCGGACAGGCGCGGCCAGTCCGCGAAGCCCGCGGACGTGTCCGCGCAGACGCGTGGATTCGTGGACACGTGGCGGCCGCAGGGGAGGGGGTTTCACAACTCTGGCGGCGCCACGTGGCGGCGCATCCCCTGCCCCACCCCCCCCCACAAAAAAAAAAACGAAAAAGATGAACTTTTGGTGGGGGGGTATGGGCGAAATCCAACGAAATTGGAAAAAAAAAAAACGCATTTTTTTTTTTTTTTTTTTTTTTTT